ACCAGTGATGTGGCACTACTCCTTCCACTGACACCAATGATGTGGCACTACTCTTGTACCAAATTGTATTGTAACTGTAATGTCTACCTTCATTTTGTAAAGTGCTGCGCAAACTGTTGCCGTTATATAAAACCTGTATAATAATAATAACTACTCCTTCCACTGACACAAATGATGGGGCGTTATTGCTCCTCCTACTGACCACAAGTCTGTAATGTTTTTACTCCCCGTGAACACCAAACATTTTCTACTCCCACTGATGCTATGGCATTTTTTTCTCCTGCTAGCCACAGTGTGATCCCCCTAAGATCTGAAGGAAAGAAAACTTCCCCTTTGTTTAGAAATGTTGAGGACCCCTGCTGTATAGGGAACAATATTGTGCTATACTGTGCGTATAATTCTGGAATTGGTCCCAAATGGCAGTGACCGTCTTCCCATGCCCTTTGACAATAACTTGCTTTTTAGCCCTAAAAATGGGCAGAATTTAATAACAAATTCCTCCTCTCATTTTAAAAAGTTTAAGAACTTTAAGCAAGAAAAAAATCACATATCTGGTATGGCAGGCATAGAAATATGTCCTCCACTCACTGAATATATATACTTGTGAATGTGCTGTATTTAATAGCATCTAATGTACGTTATTTGTGATCTAGATATAGTGGTCTTTAAGAAAAATAAAATGCTCAAAAATTCCGCAGAGCAATGCTCATTTCAGATCAGCAAAACAAACACCGAGCAAACAAATTGGCAAAAAAATGCAGTTTTCTCCCGGATCAATAGACTTTACACAGTTCTTTACTTTTCTGCAGATTTTTTGCTGCCTGCCTGTTATTAGCAGGATAAACTGCTCATAAAACGGGTCCCTGTGCTGTGCCATTCTCTGTGACCCGGCCTTTTGTCTGATTGATCGCTAAGGCGATAACATCATAAGGAATCTGCACCCTAAGGCTAGCACAAACTTATTGGAAATCAGATGTTATTAGCTCCTCCATGTCCCCAAGCAGTTTCTTCTGGGGATGTTTTCAGGAATTTTCCTGGCTTAATGTCAGTTTCAAAAATTGGCAATTTCATATGAGATTTTTTTTTTGTACACCCTTCATTCAGCAGCTTTGTGTTGTTAGTATGTTGTCTGCCTGCTGAGGCTGCCTCGGTTTTGTCATGTGTGATTTATGTGGTCTGCTGGGGGCAAAGGACGCCCCAGGGTGATAAGAATGGAACGCAGGAGAGATATGTGTTAGTTTAGAGTTTGTGTTCTAAATGGCATTCTCCTAGAGGTGAACAGTTACTCCCTAGGGGCATTAAGGGAAAATGTTTTTCATTCTCCAGAAAAGATATGTATATTTTCTGTTAGGTGTGTGAAGGGCATTGACTCATACAGCTGGTGTTAGCTTCAGAAACTGCAGTCTGGAGTCGCATGGTGTGAAACTAGAGTGCAGAGCAATTTCCTGGAGCAGCATGACTGCAAATAAGGTATCAGCTGCCACTAAGGGGCTCTCGGTGTGCAGAGTAATGTCTAAGAGGACGTGTCTGCAGAGTCCAGGTATTCCTGATAGTAGATGCTTTAGAAAAACTGACCTGAGCCAACCCCTGTTGTGGTTGCTGTGTGTTGCAACACAAGTCAATCTTAAAGTACACTTTAAAAGTAAAAAAAAAATCCTAAAGGGAAACTATAATGGTTTGGGGCTATTTTTATTTTTGTATATTTAAACTAATACCATCTATTTATATAAAATCTTTAATTGACAAATATACATTTAAAGCCGAACTAAAGTTTTGTCATGGACAATTATTACTGTTCACAGACCTCTTATAACTCCCCACCGTTGGCCTCGAGAGCTAATAACTAGGCAGCAGACTACACAGAGGGTGGTGGCGCTTGTATCGCTAGATAAGCAGATTCTGATGAGGAGCCAGGGGCCCTGAAACATGTAAGCTCAGTGGCTGTACGCCACACACTGATTTGGCCCCCCTCTAGTTCCAACTTAGAACATTTTGGCAGTTTTTTTTTCCCATGACCTCTCCTACTGCCCGATTCCAGTGAGAGGACTTTCCACATCTGTTGGAGGGTCTTGACGTTCATTGGGATAACATATTGTTGGTGATATGCACTGATCAAGTTCCGTCTATGTAAGTGCAAATTGCATTTTTCACAATTTTTTATTAAAGTTTTTTTTCACTTGCACTATTCAGTGTGCTCTGTTTTTGTTTTATATGTATATTTGGCCTGTGCAGATATAGACAGCACTGCAAAGGAACTTAGAGTTGCTTTTGGTTGAAGTGAGGTGCGATACATTTGAAGATTTGACTTAAATAAACAGCATCTTTCTCTACACAGAACTGACAGTTCCCTGACAGCTTCAAAACACACTGACAATATGGCCGATATGAGCTCACCCTCTTATAGAAAGAAGCTGAGTTATCAAATTATTGGCTATTGTGACTCAACAAACCACAGAAAAATGGCTATGCACTGCATTATGGGTTGTTCTTTATTCTTTGTGAAGAACCCGCAAACTTTTGCGGGCCAATATTTGTGATTCATGAAGTTCATGAATCTAGGGCAGTGGTAATCTTCATCCCTAGTCACAAGGGCATTAGTATATGGTTATGAAATGATGAATGGTGAAATGTTTTCTGTTGAGAAAATTATGTCAAACACTAATCCAAGTAATGAAGCAATCCTGCTATCCATACTACAGTATATATATCCAGTGAAGATGTAATCTATATCACCTAGCAAGAATTCTCAAAATTGATTTGGTAAAACAAGCAATTTACGAAATGAAAGGTATCCATCCAATCATTTGGAGGAAACGTTTTGCTTTTCTTTTCTTACTAATATTTATATAGCACCAACAATTTACGAAGTGCTTTACATATTGTACATTCACATCATTCCCTGCCCTTAAGGAGCTTACAATCTAAGGTAGTTCAGAATTGATTCCTGAACCTTGACCAAGATCCTTACTAGACAGGTACCTTCACCCAACAGTCAATAGAAAAGTCAAAGGCACGTTCTTGGCATTCAGTTCAGGAATGCGGTGTTCAAATACTGTTACCTATTGCATCTAAATGTGCTAATACTGACTGAATACAATTTTTTTCCATCTAAAATCTTCATTTGCTTCTGGTCTCCTTGATCAGTTTACTCTCGCATTCAGCATAACGCTTTAGAAGTTGGTGATAAATCTGGAGAAAAACATAGCACAGGTAGAGGATAAACTTTTAATAACAAAACAAACATGATTGTATATATAACTAAATAAAAATAATTTGATACATTTTCTTATCAGGATTAGAAAATAAAATGTACATTTTTGTCAGTCAGATATTTCATAGTAATACTACATTTTTCATTTTCAGTGTATAACTGGAGCTGTAGTTTCATGTGTTATAGGGCTGTTGTTAAAGTACAACTAAAGGCTTCTATATGACAGTCTAAATATGTCCCAAATCCAGTTACTATAAGATGCAGAATCCTTATACAGGCGTATCTCGGTTTACGAACACCTCGGTTAACGTAATTTTCGGTTTACGAATGAAAGTCCATTGAAAATAATGCCTTTTGGTTTACAATTTTTTTTTTTCAATTTGAACGGATTAATTGGTTTTGAACAGATAAGACTTTTTTTTACTTTTTTCTGACCTCCGGAAAAGATTTATTGGTTTTCAGTGCATTTACTAATTCATTTTTAATCATATCCCTTTACAGTATTTATGCCTGTAAAGTGCACTTTATAAAGAGTTTTGAACATACTTTTTTTTTTACTTTTTTCTGACCTCCAGAATGGATTAATTGGTTTTCAGTGCTTTCCTGCGTTTCGGTTTACAAATTTTTCGCAATACAAAAAGTCCCGCAGAACGCATTAAATTCGTAAACCAAGGTAAGCCTCTATAGGAAAAAATTGGATTGCATGCTATTGCTGAGTCTGTTATATACTTGGGCCACTAGATCTTTTTCCACCCTTGACTCCCCCAGAGGTTCTCCCCCTAGCCAGTAACTTGTGTTCATATTTTTAGCCCTCAAGTGCATTAAGTTACATTTTTCAACATTAAACCTCATTTGCCATATATCTGTCCACCCCTTGCCCTACTTAAATTTGTATCGTCAGCAAACACTGAGATTGAGCTATTTATGGCAGCCTCTATATCATTTATAAATAAATTAATTAAATAGAATGGGTCCCAGGACAGAGTCTTGTGGTACCACACTTACCATTCCAGAGCAGTCTTAATACTCGCTATTTTATCATCACCCTTTGGACACGCCTCTGTAACCAGTTTTCTATCCATGTACAAACCCTATGGTCCATGCCTATAGACCAGTGTTTCTCAACTCCAGTCCTCATGGACTCCCAACAGGTCATGTTTTCAGGATTTCCATTATTTTGCACAGGTGATTTGATCAGTTTCACTGCCTTAGTAATTACCACAGCTGTTTCATCTGAGGGAAATCCTGAAAACATGACCTGTTGGGGGTCCATGAGGACTGGAGTTGAGAAACACTGCTATAGACCTAAGTTTGTAAATTAAGCATTTATGGGGGACTGTAGCAAATGCTTTTGCAAAATCCATATATACAACATCCACCAGCCTTCTTTTATCTAGATGGCAGCTCACTTCCTCTTAGGATGTTAATACCGTATTTTTCGCCGTATAAGACGCACCTGACCATAAGACGCACCTAGGTTTTAGAGGCAGAAAACAGGAAAAAAAAAATTCCGAACTAATGGACTGCAGACACAGTACAGGAGATGACCAGAGACTGCGGACAGCACAGGGATGACCAGAGACTGCACAGGGATGACAGAGACTGCGGACAGCACAGGGATGACCAGAGACTGCGGACAGCACAGGGATGACCAGAGACTGCAGACAGCACAGGGATGACCAGGGACTGCGGACAGTACAGATGACTGCTGACCTTTGGGGAGGTGGGGAGCGGGTACCTGAATTTGACAGGTACCTGCTCTTACTTCCGCAGAGTTTTTGTTTGATCTTACCTGTTCCTCGATAAAGCCGCGCGCTGTCTTCCCGGCTTCTGTAATGGCGCTCGGCATGACAGCCGGGTGCCCAGTGCGCATGAGCAAGAAGCACTTGCGCTTTGTGATTGGTCCCTGACGGCTTCTGGGATCTGTCATGTGTCCCAGGTACCGCCTTACCATTCACAAAAAGCACCGCTTCTTGCGCACAAACTTGGCACCGCTTCATTGCGCATACAGAAGCAGGAACAGGTAAGGAACCCGTCCCGCTGCAGAGCTGAGCAGCCGGCCCAGTATTCTGACACGGCCGCAGTGGAAATACCGGACCGGCCGCTCCATATTCGCTCCATAAGACGCACTGACATTTCCCCCCCAGTTTTGGGGAAGAAAAAGTGCGTCTTATACGGCGAAAAATACGGTAGATTGGCTTGGCAAGAATGACTTTTTTGTAAATCCATGTTGATTACTACTAATGATACTCTTTTCATCAACAAATTCTTGGATATAATCCCTTATCCCCTCTCTAATAGTTTACATACTCTCGATGATAGACTGACTGGCCTGTAGTTTCCAGGAATATATCTCTGCCCTTTTTTAAATATTTGAACCACTTTGTCCCCTCGCCAATCAGCTAGTACTAGTCCTGTCAGTATGCTGTTCATAAAAATTAGTCATCTGGACCTGGTGATTTATTTGCATTAAGCTTTCCAAGTCTTTTTCAAACACTTTCTTTTGTTAGCCACAAGTTACATTTTGTGATGCGTTCCTAATGATAGAGTCATGGTTACTATACCCCTCCTTTTCCTTTGTAACAGAGGAGAAGAATGCATTTAGTACAGTTGCCTTCTCTTTGTCATTTGCAACCAACTTCCCTTTCTCAGCTTTTATGGAGCCAATTTGTTCTGGCCTTGCTTTTTTACTGTTAGGATATTTTTTAAAAAAATTTTTTTTTTTTTTTTTTACTCTTCTCTGCTATGTGCCTCTTGCAGTCTAATTTAGCTTCCCTAATTGCGCTCTTACACTTATTTTTTCATTCCTTGTAGTGTTGGAGTGCCAACAATGTCCTCTCTGCCTTACATTTTTTAAAGGCCAATTTTTTTCTCTTTAATATCTTTAAATATTTATTTATATCTTCTCTTTAACATCTTTTTTACTTTAAGGTTTAGCCACCCAGGTTTAATCTTGCCCATTGGAATGCACTGGCTAATACCTTTAATTAATAAATATTTATTTGTAACTAAAGCATTCCCATTTTTCCACAGTGTTCAATGTTTTTATGATCTGGTCCCATTTTGAGGCACAGGCAGTATTTCTGAGAATACCACGTTTGAGGTCCTTCTCTTCAATATAGCCCCTAAGTCCCTGAAATAATTTTTTAGGACGTTCCACCTTCCTCCAACTTCGTCATTTGGATCAACGTGTACCATGACAGCTGAGACCTCCCCAGCCCCACCCAACAATCTATTCATCCGATCTGCGATATTCTGAACCCAAGCGCCCAGTAAACAATGTACAACGATCACGGTGACATATTGCCCTATCTTTCCTTCTAATAATTGTGTCCCCTACCACTAATATCTGCCTAACCTTGCCTATATCCTTGCCTCTCTCCTTACCGGAGCAGTCATTCCCCTGGGAACTAGGGGAGGAGGCCTGTTCCAAATTGTACCACCCGTGAGCTGATATCACCAATATCATGCAACTTGGCATATTTATTGAGATGCACCAACTTAGGACTAGCCTCTCTAAGGCTCATCCCCTCCTTCTAACTGTCACCCAGCTACCTACCTTTGGCTCCTGTACCTCCACCCCCTCCCCTATAATGACCGCTGCCAGCACCTGCTTGGTAATGTCCAATCTCCTTTCCAGGTTGTTGAAGTTACAGAGTGTTGCCACCTGATTCTCTAGATCCAAAATCTGGGCTTCCAGAGAAAAAACTAGCTCACATCTCACACAGCAGTACTCACACTCGAACGGTTCATCAAGGAACACATACATGGAGCAAGATGTGCACTGGATCGTGCCACCAATCCTGTTGGACATTTTACCTGCTACCCTAATAAGGATAACCAAGAAAAAAATAACATTTAGATTTAATTTGCTGTTTAACCTCTTTACTAATCCTAATCTGAGCAATATCTGTTTTTGGGTTTTTTTATTTTTGTTTGTTTTTTTTTAATACGCCAATTTGCTCCAAATTACCCAGTCAACCCAGTAACTCCCAGTACTCCAAGTTACTCCCAGTACTCCAAATTACTCCAAGTATTCTGAGTTACCCCAAGTCACTCTTAGTCACTCACAGCACCCCAAGTTACCCCAAAATACTCCCAGTATTAAAAATGTACTCCTAGTCATCTAGGTTACCCTAAATTACTCCCAGTACTCCAAAATACTCCCCAGTACTCCAAAAGAGCATAGTTTACACTATTGTGGGGCTTTCACGTGTGTTTTAAACAAACTACAGCATGCTGCACTTTTTCACACATAACTGCATGTGAACACACTGCAAATGCATGAAATGCAGTCAGTAAAAGTAAATACATACATCATGCCAAAAAAACAGACCAAGACCACACTGAAAATGCACCACAAATGTGTGTTAACATGTATGTAGAACTGCATACTGAGAGAAAAATTGTGGTCTAAATGTGCCCTAAGTGTCACACATGTAAAGCTGGCTATACACTGATATACTTTATTGTTTTGTTTAATCTGTGGGCTGAATGAAAAACATCAATACGATTCCTCTATCTACACTATACAGCATAGATGGATGAATCTCCTGCTGCAGCCCTATCTGCTGTCAAAATACCTCAACAGTGGCTGCATCTGATTAAATGCAGCTGCCGTTTGGCAAACAAATTCCCGCCCTGCCCTGTTAGGTGGGAGGTAGATGACAGGACCACCCATGGAAAGAATTTTGTCCTGTTCATTAGGAACAAGTGAAAATTCGTACAGCATATTGCCATCTTTACTCTAAACTGCTATACTTTGGTTCATCACCCTGAATGTGTCCTTCTTATCTCATGCATCACCTTGATGTAACACAACAAATGCTTTTAAGTTCTCACCCCATGCTGAGACCAATGACTTCCACAACCTGCCCCAGACCCTTAACTAGTACACACGATGATAATATCAGATGATTGACCGTCTCTGTTTTTTTTAATGCTAGTCTCGTATCGAAAATGAAGAGGTTACTAAAGTTACGAAAATTCTTGTACAAGAGAATACAACCTCGAAAGTGATGTCATGTATTGTATTGTAAAGTATTTTCATTTCCAATCATGCGTGGTCTGGGTCTTCCTATTTTTTTAGAGGAATACTGTAATCATTAAAAAATCATACCTTCTGGTATCATACGAGGAAAAGTTTCATGTTTGTCTTCTCTGATAATTTTGCATGAACTGTCGTGATTGGCTCTCGAAAGCTACCAACGGTCAGATTGTCGTATTTTTGCTTTGAAAACGGTATTTTTCATCCGATTTTCTGATTGTGTGTACTACGCATTAGGAATGGTAATTATATAGGATAGAATGCACACTCAGATGCACATACCTTTGTTGCCATCTCACAGATAAATGTGAGTTTACTATTTTTCTTTCAAATACACGTAATACCGTCTTAGAGTTCACCATCTGAGTAAGATGGGGAACTCTTGCTAACTCTCTTAAATAACAAACATACATTTGTTATACATGCTGTAACATTTTAGAATGTGTTACATACTGTAATGCTAATGACTAATGATGTGTGGCCCATCTTTTTGTAAACAGGGCCATGCAGCTGCCATGGAAATGCAACACTACCTTAATAAGCAGCACTACCATGTCGTGGATGACATTGAAAGACCAGTGTGCGTATATCTGACAATACAAGGTTACAGGCAGCAGTGTCATATTGGTGATGACACTACATACCCTGTACAGTGCAATCAGTAATGTGCATGTAACTGTATTTAAATTCTGCAAGATCATCAATGGAGAAAGGTTGGATATTTTTTAAAGGAACAAATAGAAGAGTGACAAGGCAGTAGAGGTAAGGTGAGGAACAGACAGACAGTGCCTGAGGTCAGAGGGAGATAGAGACATCAATGAGGACTTTCCACAGAGTCTTCTGCATAATGTAAATATCATACATTACAGCTCTGTTCCTTGAATGCACATGCACAGCAGTATATCCTAATCCTTCAAACAGAGAAACGGATTGAACTTCACATCAGTGGGAATGTAGCACAATCCTCATGTAAGATACACTGGAAACAAGATGCAGTTCTAAATGTACCTTGTTTATGCAGGCTTAACCCCTATTCACGCTACTGTAGAGTGTCGTCAGGCACATGCACACTTTTTTGTGAGTAAGATAGCCTGCTCATGTTAGTGGTCTGCCTGACACATAACAAATGTGACAGAAAATATCATGGACCTTTCTGAGCTTCAAGCACTTGCTGCAGGTTCTTGTGTGTACAGACCCATGGTATTTGCTTGGTGTGTTTAGGGTGTCATTCGCAACGAATGAACGCTCACAAAATTACACAATTTTGCATGCATTCACATGCTACATTAGTGTGAATGTAGGCTAGTAGTATAAATGTCCATTACTTTTTATCTTTTCACAGTTTATATGCATTGCATTTCATTTTATTGAGTAGAGTGCACTAAAACACTTCAAGAGCCAATTTGTCCTGTTCAAAGCCAAGCAACACTTGTGACAACCAGCCCATGACAGTAAAATATATTACCTTTTCTGCATTAGGTCTCGGGGTAACAACTAACTTGCGCTCAGCTGGTTTGAAAACATCTGCAAAGGAAGTAGGAGATGACTTCAAAGCATGACCTGGAATGCAAGTACAAAATATGGTTATTAGCTTCTCTAGGACCAATGGCAAGGACACCAAAGTTATCAATTTTGGGGTTAACCAAAAGTAAAATAGGGGGCTAAATGTTGTTTAAACAAAAAAACTTTTTTCTTAATTTACACATAACCATAACACATGATTGAAAGATCCAGACCAGGAAAAGTAAAAAACACAGAGCCAGTTAGAGTAACTCTTTTCCAAGTGATCGCCAATCCAGTGATCACAAAGGTAAACACAGCTTAGGTTTACACTTGAGAGCCCTCCCATTTCTCCTCTGTTTCTGAATCTCTGATACTCTTCCTTCCACTTTTGCCAGCTCTAATCCACCTGTCCTGTGAGTAACACTGCTCCTTCTAACTACCAACGACAGGAAGCATACCGCGCAGCAAGAGAGAGCATACAGACTAGCACTGAGAAATGAAGGGCTTATTGAC